ATTTACAGAAAATTGTAAAATTGACACATTAAAAGTATTAATTTTACAGAAGGGATTTTAAATTCACTACTTTTAAAGAAGTTATTTTACAAGTTTTTATAAAATTCTAAACAAAACTGTAAATCTACAGAAAATTTTTTTTACAGTGTACATTCAGAGTAGTAAATTTACAGAAAATTGTAAAATTGACACATTAAAAGTATTAATTTTACAGAAGGGATTTTAAATTCACTACTTTTAAAGAAGTTATTTTACAAGTTTCTATAAAATTCTAAACAAAACTGTAAATCTACAGAAAATTTTTTTTCTGCTTCTTTTTTTACCCCCCATGGAAATGGTTGAATCCGCCGAGTCATCGTCCTCCACATCGGAAAGACCATCAAAAGTTGGAGGAACATACTGGGAAGAATGGAGATATTTCAAGGCCATATCCAATTCATAAGTTTTGTTATCCATGATAATATGATGACACTGAATTTTTATGGACTTTCCTTGTTCTTCTAATAAACTCTTACATTCTAAGAGCTTATTGTACTGCACTTTCTTCTTTTCACGTAGTTCCCTCGATAGGTCGTTCGAAACTCCAATGTTCAAAATATTAAAATTCTTCACTTTACGGAATATATCGTATTTAACTTCCTGATTGTTGAAAGTTTCAAGTATGGGTCTAAATCCTTCAGTATTTCCAATCCTTTTTACAGATATTATACTATCAGCTTCAACGGAGACTTCAGCTTTGCAAAATATTTGTTTAACAGTCTCAAGTAAATTTGCGTTTTCTGCTGAGGTATCCTGCACTCTGTACAATACGATATTATTCTTTCTATCTTTATTCAAAAATAACTCGAATTTCAATTCACAATTATTTATTTTATTTTCAAGTAATTTGTTTTTTAACTCCAAATCACTCACTTTGTCACTCATTAATGTAATATTTTTCTTGAGTTGAGCATTTTCACTAGTTAGCACTTCTAAATCACCTTGCACTTTATCAATCTTCTCACTTAGAGTCTTTGTATCCCTTTTGATATCTTTTAAAATCTTCATAAGATCTTCATTTGAAGTCATTTTGAATTATAAAATTATACAAAAGAATTCACAGTACAACAATATTTAAGGGGAGGTTCTCATTGCGGAGGCCAAAATAAACACAAACTTTGACAATTTTTTGCGAGGAACGGCTATGACTTAACGATGTAATTTTTTTTTCTAAATAAAGATACTTTCTTGAACTTTTAAAATATATATTTCATTTTAAAAAAAAATGCAAAATGGCGGCCAATATGGCGCATCTAGAAAATAATGTTTTATTAAATAGGGAAAACGGTGGGCATTCTATACTGCGCAATTTTTAGTCTAAAACAAAAACTCAAAAATTTTTATAAAGGTGACATCCTAAAGAATAGGTTATACCTAAAAAATAGTTAAAAAGTTAATAAAATGTCAAATGGCGAACACATTTTTAAAAAAACTGCGTTTTTGCATTATTTTTCCATATTTGACCTCTTGTAAAAATCTCTATTGTTAACAATTTTATCATATTATAGGTATAACCCCAGTAGAATTTAGTTACCTTTAATTAGCCGCAAACCCGAAGTTGATTGATTAAATAGTTTAGACGCTACGATGCCCACCAGTTTGAAAAATCTTGTTTCGAGAAAACCGCGTTTAAAGTTTGAGAAACATTTTTGTGCAATAATTTTATTCTTTGCAATTCTTTGTTCAATTTGCGTATATGATAAATATCTATAGGTATTTAGGGTCGCTCTTTACGATTCTGAGGTCAGATTTGCAAAATTTTTAAAAATTGATTCGATTTGCCTGACATTTGTTACTCAGTGCTCGGGACGGCGGTGAGTTCAAGACTCCATAAAAACGAAAATATTCTTCGGATCAAAAAATCGCTATACACACATATTCTACATATATATAGCTTTAAAAAAATACAATAAAAAAGAAATCAATTTTTTTGACTCCCGCAATGGGAACCTCCCCTTAACGACCAAAAACAGACAGATAGAGTAACAGGACGATTAGTAAACACGTCTGTTCGGTTCGACAGACTAGACGCAACCATGAGATAATTAAATTTTCTTTCTAGCATTTTATTCTAGGTAGAATTTGAAAGTATTACCAAAAAAAAATTTTAGGGCCTGCATTTTATTTACAAATTACAGCTATTTTTGTTAAGCGCCATATTGGATCCGCCATTTTGAATTTAATTTTAATTAAAATTTTCGAAATTATGTATCAAATGCTTTATAAATGACCCCTAACTAACAAGTTGAAACCAATTCAACGCATCTAACGCGGCAGTGAGACCGCCCGCGATACTGCACGCGCCATGTCTTTGTTACAGCGCGTAACAAAAATAGCTGTAATTTGTATATAAAATGAGGGCCCTAAAATTTTTTCTGGTAATACTTTCAAATTCTACGTAGAATAAAATGCTATAAAGAAAATTTAATTATCTCATTAAGAACAGGCTTCGAAAACATTACCCTATACCTAATCTTTTAGTACTTTATGTACGGATGGGCACTGCTCGTACAAATGTTATAAATAAATAAAGATTTCGATGTAATTTGACCTCAGAAGTCCAAAAAACGGATTTTAAAAAAATGTCTCGATGTTTGTGTGTGTACTAACATTACATTTGCCTCAATATCTCAGAAAGAGAAAGAGCTAAAGGCTTCAATTTTTTTTAAATTGTAGGTCTCCCCGGTGGACATAAAATGAGAGTATTTTTCGCCCGTTTCATAAAGTTTAACTATATTTTTTTTCATTTTGTAAAAAAAACGTTTTTTGGCCATAACTTAAAAAAAATGTTAGGACACCTATAAATGTTTTTCTTTAGTTTTGTAGAGTTTTTTCAGATGCATCTTTTGAGCATCTCAAATTTTTCTCAAATATTTTTTTTTCTTTCAGTGCTCGTAGAAATGAGCTACCATGATTTTTTTTCAAATTTTTTCATAAAGCGATTTAAGAGATACATATTTTTGAAAAATTACGTTTTCCATAGGGATTGTAAATCAACAAAAACTCTCTTTAAAATTTACCAGTAATTCGGTAAATTACTTCTACGAAAATCTTTGTTAAAAATAGATTTTGACACCAGCCAATAATAAATGTAGTTTAGTAGTGGAGGGATAGCAAAAGGTCATATTTCTCATTTCTCCGCTATGATGCATTGAAAAAAATATATTTAATTGACTATATTATCAATTAAATATTGACATGGATCAAATAATATTTATTAAAGTCAATTAAATAGCATTTGAACCAATAATTTCAGTACAGGAAGCAAATATCATTTAATTGACCCCAATAAATATTATTTGATTCAAATAAATATTTAATTGATAATAGTCAAGTAATAGGTTATTTTCTGGAGCTGGATTATTGTCTACTAAAATTCAGTCACGATTAGGAGATAAAAGTTTGGACAGTCTATGTTTCTTACGTGCGTACTTTTTAAAAAATTCTGAAACGTAAGATGTCTATTTAAAATGTTTTATGTTCACAAAATTTTTAATATAATTCTGTTATCATAATGAAAAACAATTAACATTGCATAATACTATTTGTTTTTAGTAATAAATAATTAATTAGAACTTTTATATGTATTACTTTATTTTCAAAAATATTTAAAAAGAAACTATTATAATATAATATGCTAAATTGTTTTGTTTAATATTCACAATATTGTGGAAATATGCTTTATTTTCAATCCAATTTTATCTCCCTTTTTTATTATTTTTGCATTATAGTATTATATACTAGTGAAAAGTATTACCGGTAAACCGGTTTTATATAAGAGTTTTATCGTATTACCGGTAATTGAAAAAGTTGGTAAATTTACAATCCCTAGTTTTTTACGTATATTTTTTTTAAATGCTTATAACTCGGCCAAAAATTGATCAAATTGAACGCTCTTTTAACGAAAATTTTTGTTTTCATACGTAGTTTTTAATGAAAATATGAAAAAAAAAATTTTTAATAATTTACGATAAGATTTTAAAATTTTTAAAATAAAATTTTACTTTTTACAGTGTACCAAATCACACAAATTTTTCACAGCAAAACTGTTTTCAGACTGAGTCCTTCCGAACTTAACCTTCTTACTGTGAAAAGTTTGTGTGATTTGGTCAAATGGGAAGTTAGGCATTTGGTTACCTACCTACCTACCTACGTAACTAAGAAAATCTGAAAAAAATAGAATTATTTTTTGTCTTTATAACATGATATCTCGCATCCTATTTATGCAATACAACTTAAAATAATGGCATTTCATTGGAAATTCAATAAGCTTTTCAATGCAATTTAAAAAAAGCATCTAGCTTCATTTTTAACGGAGTTATCACTCTTTCTCAAGATGTTAGCGTTCGCACAATTTCCGCCGGTAGTGTGGTTCAATTTTCTTTGAACAATGTAAATAAAAATGTACTTTTTTAAACTTGTTAAAATTTCGGAGAAAATTATGATCATATTTATAGGTAATTAAAATTCTTCAAAGATTTGATTATTTTTATTTATATTTTTAAAAAATTAAATTATTTTTAAAAGATTTTACCAAATTTCAATTGTTTGAAAATTTTTCAATTGAAGGGCTGGCTGCAATAAGGGGACGAACGCGAGACTTGGAAGGGATACTACCAGTCGGGTAGCAGTGACAAGCCTTGAGCCGCTCACTGCTACCTGACTGGTATTATCTCTTTCAACCACGCGTTCATCCCCTTATTGCAGACAGCCCTTCAATTTTATATAATTCAAAAACTGTTATCTTTCAAAAATGATTTAAAGTGACTTTAAATTAAAATTAAAGGCCTCTCACTGCTACCTGACTGGTATAGTCCCCTTATCCGTTCTAGATCCTCAATTTTTTGCAATGCAATTTTTTTTTGAACCGATTCATTGATTATTAAATTTGATTTAAATTTATAGTAAAAGATTTTCTATTATTTTGAAGAAAAATAATTTGAAATGTTTTAAAAAAATAGGCTGTCGTGCAATACCATCAATGGAGTACAATGTCGGCTCGGGAAATTGAACAACTGCAAAAGGATTTGGCCGATTTGGAGAAAGGACTAACTGTTTCCGATTCGACACAACAATTACGTACAGAATTAACGAATTTACGAAATAAGGTAAGTTTTTCCCGTCTACAGTTAACATCGTTGTTAGAAAATTTATTTTTAAAACGTGCCATTTGGAATATAGTGACACAGGGCCTAGCGGAGTAAGCATGCAAAATCTGCCCCCGCTCAAAAAAATTTGAAATTCTTGTTACATGTTGGCAGCATTAAGATAAAATTTTTCACCAAGTATTTTTTCAAAAAATGTATTTTTGTAAGAGTTATGGAGGGGGAAAGGAAAATCAAGAATTTATTTTTTCTCGAAAACCACTGGATCGATTTTAATAAAATTTATACGTGTTTTATAAATTAATCAGAGGAATTTAAAAAAAAATTTTTAAAAATTTTGCCCACAAAAAACCAAAAAAAAAAAATTTTTTGGTCATATTTTGGAGATACTACTTTGGAATTTTTACAGAAAATTCTCTTAAATGTGTACTTTTAAGAAATATTTTTGTTGATTTTTTTAATTAGGTACCACATAGTGAAAAAAATTAAAATCCTAGGTGGCGCATCATTCCGGCTGAAGCACAATGTATCGAGCCATTTTGAATTTTGAAAATTTAACATTTCATTCGTAATGAGTGACCCCAGAAACGCATAATTACTAAATTTTAAGCAAATTTAAAAATAATCAGTTACTGGATACATTGTGCTTCTGCCGGAATGATGCGCCACCTAGGATTTTAACTTTTTTCACTATGTGGTACCCAATTAAAAAAATCAACAAAAATATTTCTTAAAAGTACACATTTAAGAGAATTTTCTGTAAAAATTCCAAAGATTTTGCATGCCTACTCCGCTAGGCCCTTTAAATCAATCGTTACAAACATTTACAAACACGAAAAACTTTAATTTATTTTTCTTTTTTCCAAATTAATTTCCATTTAAAAAATTAAAAATACTTATAAAAATGACATAAACTAAACGATAAAAGTAGGTAAACAGGGAGGGTTCTAACTCAAGATCCCTGCACCGACATGTTACCGACACTTTTAGCCCAGACTCAAACCACTTAGCCAAGACTCAAACCCTTGTGGGGGGGGTATTCAGACTGTTATGCTGAGCCAGATATGACGTCATACTTCCTAGAATTTTCGGGGGGGGGATATTGAGATCATGATGCGAATGTGATTCTTGGAATTTATCTAATTTCTTGGAATTATAAAACAATCCTAGAATTTGATGACACATTATCATTGGTATTTCCTGTTTTTGTTTTTTTACAGGGTGCATTCTTTAACGATGACGCATAATTTCTTTGTTTTTCGCAAAATAGGGTTGATGACTCAGAGTTTTGGAATTTTTTATTGATGACTCATTTCCTGTTTTTGTTTTTTACATGGTGCATTCTTTAACGATGACGCATAATTTCTTTGTTTTTCGCAAAATAGGGTTGATGACTCAGAGTTTTGGAATTTTTTATGGATGACTCATTATCATTGGTATTTCCTGTTTTTGTTTTTACTTATTTTATTCTTGGAATTATTATTTTCGTCTAAATATTGCAAATCACTGTTTATTAGATTCTTATCTAAGGAATTTTTACAAACATTTTTGGTTCTTTTCATAAGAATGCTTTTGATCTTACCGAAATTCCAAGAAATCTATAATTAACTTGAAGGTCAAATAGGTCATATCTCATGTATATAAAGAGGGCAATTTTTATAAACGAAATCATTCCTGCAGTTTAAGTTGGTTAATGAACATATTAGCAGAACAACGTCGTGAAATTCAAGTGCGCTTGAACAAATTAATTCAAGAAATACATAAAGTTAAAAGTTTAATTGAAGCAAGGTCGCAGTTAAATATTTTAATAAAAAAATTTGAAAATTTAAATTTAAGTGATGAAAATGAATTTCGATAAATTAAACAAAGCAAGCAAAGTCTTGGTCACCAAAACAACAAAGGAGTTAACCATCGATGCATTCTATAAAGTAACAGACATTCGAAAAATTGATACGAAATTTGGTCCGAAAATTGTTGCTGAAATAAATAATGAATTTAACATTTTCCTACCACCAAGAATGCTAAAAATATTTGAAGAGGATGCAAATCTTTTCAACAGTCTAAAAGCTGAAGCTGTCAGAGGTGGTGTATATTTAAGAAATCGTGGAGGACCTTACAATCAGATAGAGTTTGTTCCTGAGGGAGTTGACCAGTAGAAGACATAAAATGTCATATTTACCATGCAGAGAAATGTTATTATCAAAAATTTACAACTTGAATCCATCATTTACAAAGCAAGTTGTCGTTGGAGCAGAACTAGACATAAATGGGAATATAGTACCTAAAATTCAACTAAGAAGCAGCCATCCACGAGTATCATTGTCTTTGGAGCTTCAAGAATGGCGCCTATTGTGTGATGCAGTAAAACATATAATGCGATTTTTCAACGGAGATTGTGATGCATCAGTGCTGGATTGTGAAACGTTTACAATACGTTTTAGTGTTACATATCGTTTAATATCAATTGAGCGTTTAGATCAATCATTTACATTTAGTGAAACTTCATTTGCAATTTTTAATGAACTTATTCCTTGTGTTAAACAAAAATATGTAGAACTATCAAAATTCAATTTGCAGTATAGTAAAGATATAATTGTAAAGTTTATTGCAGAATTAATCTTTAAAAATAATGTAAAGTCTACAAAACATGCCACGGATTTTATTAAAAAACATTACAGTAGAATACTTCAAAAAGTGATGGGAAGAACTAATGTTTTAAATTTAGAGACATTATTGCTGGAACTTGTCACATTTCACTGTAAACAAATATCAAATGAAGCTATTCAACAAATGTCAAATATTCAATATATCAATGGTAAATTATTGTAAAGAGAGGATAAATAAATACAAAAATGCATACAATTCAATTTATTTTTATTTTAACCTTTCTTAAATACATTATAATTCAGATTCGTTTATCCAACTGTTATGAGAATTATCAAAACCCAACCATTTTACAAATACATTAGATCCTCGTTTTTTTAATACTTTTTTAACTAAATATACATCTGGATATTTAACTTTAGAAAGTTCTTGCTCGTAAAAGCATCCACTTATTAGATTTTCCTGATAATCCTTTAAGACATATGTTATTGGATTAGTATTTTTTACATCGCTTATAGTAAATATTTCTGTAGTCCAATTTGGTGTATAATCTTTCTCAAAAACATGTTCAACTTTACTTATACGTACTCTATCTCCAACTTTAAATTTCTTATTATATTGCCTGTTTACTGCAACTTTTTTAAATACATTAAACAATAAATTATTTTCATTTTCAGCATTTACATCTATTGGTTTCATTTTTATTGTTCGATGTTTACTATTATTATACGCATTTACTAAATCACTTAATATATCTATCCATTTGTAATTACCGCGTAAACTAAATTGCATCCACATTTTATTCTTCAAAGTACGATTAAATCGTTCACAAATTGACGCTTTCAAATTACTATGAGTAGAATACAAATTAATGTTATAATTTTTAATAAGATTTTCAAAATGTGAATTATAAAATTCTTTTCCTTTATCTACTTGCAAATTTTTCGGTATGCGTTTTTTAATTAAAATAGATTTCATTGCCGCAGTCACATCTTCACCTTTTTTAGACTTTACTGGAACAGCCCAGGCAAACTTTGAAAATGTATCAATGACGGTTAACAGGTACTTGTAACCTTTATTTTCTCTCGCATAAGGTTGCATTTCAACAAGATCAGCTTGCCAAGTCTCGTCAAAACCTCGAATGTCAACACTTCTTCGCTTATAATTTTTTCTCGCTGGTTTATGTAACTCTTTCACCAACTGTAGTTTTTGATCCTCCATTGCTAATTACCTTCAAATGTGCGCAGTCTGCTGTCTAATTGTAAAATAATGTCTTTGTTGGTAGACATCATCTCTATATTTCTTTCAATACTGATTCTTAGATTTTCAAAATATTTTTTTATCAAATCTTCTAAATCTAAAATCTTTACTACATTGTCATTTACATCATTTCTCACGGAACCGATTACATCATAGATGGCGTTCGTTTTAGATTCAATAACTTTGTTTACAGTATTCAAGTTTACTGCATCACCGTTGCTCTCGGCATCAGCTACGTTACAAAGTTTCTTATTTTCAATAGTAAAATCTCCTTCAGCAGTCAACTTAAAACCAAGTCCTGGTGGACCTCGATTTGAAGTTTCTGTGCTTTTAAACTGACGTCCGAATATGTCGATACTCATCATGAAAATGATAAAAATTTCTACAACTGTTAATTAATAAACAATTCCAGCTTCTCTCAACTCTTTAATAATTGATATAATCTCATTATTATGACTGGGATTTCCAGCTGCTTGAGATGCCAAGAGCAATCTTAAACGATCAACCAATTCATTAGGATCATCCCAATAAACATAATCAATTTTTGCATCTTCTTGTTGAGTCGTATATTCTGGAATTAAACCTTCACCAGAATGTACTGCTATATAGTTTAGATATTTTAAACTCTTTTTATCTCTAACAGCGCCATCTGCTTTGTAATATTTTCTATAACATTAGTTGATATTACAACATTTTTATAATTTTCCCGATCAACTACACTTAAAACAGCTTCTTCTGGAACTTTTTTGAATAAAAGCTCAAGTAAACCTTTCGTTGCAGGATATGTTTTATTACCTACACTAATATTATTTTGTTCAAAATTTATTCCTGAATTACCAATCATTAATTGCCCTTTAGATAATTTACGAACTCCATATGAAGGATCTAAATCTTTTCCCTTTTCATCCAACATTTGAAGATATAAAATAGCACCATCTTTCTCTGATTTATCTCCATCTCCATTATCATCTCCATCATCATCATCATAATCATCACCGTTATCGTCATCATCAGCAGCTGTTGCAAATGATAAGTCATCTCTTAAAAATGAATCATTCTCTCTCTTAACTTCTTGATCTTCTTCAAACTCTAAAGGAAGGTCTCCCTCTCTTTCAATTTTTACTGGTCGAATTTGTTTG